GTAACAACTGTCAAATTCTGTGGGCGACGCCGCCCTGCGGCGTGATGTTTCTCATGTAAGCTCCAGCTCACACCCTGTTAGAGCACTGATTGGTCCGTTTGGCAGCTTTTGCCTGCCAACACGGATTCCACCACCACCAGTGTCCAAGATGCTGCATTACAGTAGCCACCCACGTGGCAAGCAGACGGTGCCAACAGGACCTATTGGCGGACACCCTGAGCATTGATTGGTCCTTTTGGCAGCATCGTGTACCACGATGCTGCAACAGACACACACGAAAGATTCCTCACATCATTGCACGGCAGACGCGCCTCGTCGTTGCCGTGCATGCTAGGCTGTGTCTGACTCCCGCAGAAAAGACACCTGAAGATGACTGTAACGGGTCTTTGCAACAAAAGCGGGGAGCAGCTCCTGAAACTTCACCGTGGTCAAAACATCGCCAGAGAGCAGGTTTGCCCAAACACGCTTCATAAGCGTCCGCGTAGGCAAGATAACAGAAGCAACCTCATGCGACGGAATCACAGGGAAGAGCAGGATCACCGTCGACCACAGGTGCGGAGAGACGCCTTTGCTCGCGTCAACCTCAAGCTCTGTTGAAGGAAGTTGGCCCCGCCCTCGCATGGGTAAAACTGACTTTGTGGTCGGGTGTGTGGGAGGTGCAGCCGACCTTCCGCAGAGGTCGACGAAGGTGGTCGTCGACCTGCGCGGAACCACTGTGACTTCGTCGACGATGGTGGTCGATGAAGGAGTTCAACGAGGATGGTCGACGAAGCAGTTCGTCGACCAGAGTGGCGCAGCTGGTGCAGAAGTTCGCGGGTGTTCGTCTGCGCAGGGTCGCGTCTGACCCTGCGCACCCTTGAGACTGCATAGGCGAATTTTGGCCAGAAATTCGAATGTGCCTTAATTTCGACCAATCAGGAGCTGACATTTTGGAATCTTGACCGAGGTGTCTGACGAAGATGGCCGACGAATGTCGTCGACCCCCGACGACGAAGGTCGTCGACCCGCGACGACGAAGGTCGTCAACCGGTGATGACGAAGGTCATCATCCTGCAGAGATGCCAGAGACTTCACCTGGTTGACCAAGTTACCTGCTCGACGAGGTACGAAGGTGTGCGAACGTCGTCGAGGCTGCTGTGGCGAAGTCGACCAGCGTGGCAGCACGTGGCTGACAACCTGCGAAATGTGTGTGACAGTGCACGTCGTGCATAACTGTCTACAAGCACCTGCGAAGTAGGTGCTTGCACATGCGCTTACAATCACCTGCGGATGCAATGTTGGCAAGCCGCGCGGATGCTGCGTTGGCAAGCCGCGCGGGTGCAGCGTTGGCAGGCCGCCATCTGCAGCGTTGGCAAGTCGCGTACGAGCTGCGTTGGCGGACCGCAGACTTGCTTCGTTGGCAGGTCGACGACTTTGTCGTGCTGGCGATCGACCTGCCTGAGTGCTAGCAAACCTTGCATGTGATGTAGTCAATATTTGCCATTGCTTGCTCTCATTCTGAACTCTGTTATGCTCAACTTTCCATAGTGAAACTCTTGCTATTGTGTCCTGTGAATGTACAAGTCCTAGAGAACACAGAAAGAGTTAAGATCACTCCTACAACCAGTGCCCACCCCACAGTCTAGCTCCCACCGTTGTAGAGTTTATCTCTGCAAGCTCTTCATCGGAGTCATCTTCGATGAATGAGTCATCAGCAGCTACCCGCTTTCAGCTTTTCCTTGACAGAAAGCCCCGAGCTTCCAGCAGTAACCTCCACTTCAGATGGAAGGTTAATGGCAGCGTCTAACTGTTTGCCTGGTGTTGTCATGCTCGCAGGATCAGAGCCACTGACCGGGTTATCCGAGGCAGCTTCCGCCGTTGCCTTGCGGGAGTTCTTAGGAGGCATCGTGCAATGATTGTTGTAGAGGCGTGTCCTCTACCTTGCAGGAACTGGGATCTGCACTAAATGATAGAGCACTCTGCTGGCTTTCCAACGAGCCGTCAAACACACGATTCGCCCAAGTAACGAGGGAGTTCTAGGCTTTTATGTGCTTGCTAGTGCTCTTAGAACAAAGGATAGGAGCTCTCTGGATTTTGTAGTCGAATGTATCACTTACAAAGTGATTCTCAATTTCAGTATGAAACATGCAAACAAGACGAGCACATTTATATCTACTCAATACATCGAGTCGCGCATGTAACATCTAGCTACTACGAGATGTGTCGTGAACTTTCATGTAACATTTCGAATGGGGTGAAATTCGGCAACCGAATTTCACTGTTTCGAATGTTCCCTCAATCTCGATTCTTCTAGTGCTGCCATATGGCACGAATTCAATGGGTCTTCCGAAGTCAACCCACTCACTTCGAAACCTGCAGCTCACGCAACATGTGAGCTTCATTCGGTGGTTGGGGGCAAACCTCCCCCCACACTCAACCTCCAACACTCCCCCTTGCACCCAAGCCACTAGAAGTTCAATCCAACACGCTCACAGCATGCACGGAATGAATCCTTAGGGAGTGGTTTGGTGAGGAAGTCCGCGGGTTGAGCTTTGGTACTCACATATGTGACTTTGACCTCACCCTTCTCAACCGCCTCACGAATGAAGTGATGCTTCACTTCGATATGCTTGGTTCGTCCGTGAAGTACGGCGTTGTGAGAGAGGCTTATGGCGGCTTGGTTGTCACAAAAGAGAGAAGTTGGGTTCGTTTGAGGATGCCCAAGCTCCGTCAGAAGACGCCTTAACCATATCGCCTCCATGGCACCTTGAGTGAGTGCCATATACTCCGCTTCCGTTGAGCTTAGAGCCACGGTTGGTTGCTTCTTGCTTTGCCAACTCACGGCTGCCCCAAGCAAGGTGAAGACGTACCCGGAGGTACTTTTGCGCGTGCTTGGATCTGCCGCGTAGTCCGAGTCGGCATAGCCCTTGAGTTCAATCGGGCCGGCTTCATACACGAGCCCCAAGTTAGGTGTGCCTTGGAGGTAGCGTAGAACGCGTCCTCCCGCACGCACGTGCTCGATATGAGGGTTGCTCACGACTCGTCCAAGCACCCCGGCGGCGTATGCGAGGTCGGGACGAGTAGAAACGGCGGCATACATGAGCGAGCCCACTAGCGAATGAAACCGCTTCCCTTCGGCTTCATCGAGGGTGGATTCTTCCTCTCCCGTGAGGCAAGAGAACCCCGTAGCTAGTGGTGTTCCCACCGGTTTGCTATTGGCCATGCCGAAGCTCTCCACTACCCCCTTCACATACTTCTCTTGGTGGAGGTGGATGGTCCCGTTGGCTCGGTCACGGTCGACGTGCATCCCAAGGTAGTATGTGACCGGCCCCAAGTCCCTCATTGCAAACTCCGCCCCGAGCTGTTGCTTGACCTCCCGAATGAGGTCCTTGGAGTCGGAGAAGAGGAGTAAGTCATCGACGTAGAGCAAAAGCACCAATTGCTTCTCCCCCTCCTTCAACACGTACAAAGCGCTATCGCACTCGCTACGCGCGAAGCCGTGTTGAAGAAGAAAGTCGTCGATGCGCTTGTACCATCCGCGTGGACTTTGCTTCAAGCCGTAGAGGGTACGCTTGAGCTTCCACACCCTTCCGCTACCGTCATCGTACCCCGGGGGTTGCCGCATATAGACTTCTTCCATAAGAAGCCCGTAGAGGAAGGCGGTGCAAACGTCCAATTGCTCCACCTCGAGGTTAAGCGATGCCGCGAGAGCAAGCAACACCCGAAGAGTTGTAGCCTTAGCGACGGGAGCGAAAGTCTCACTATAGTGCTCCCCCTCCCGTTGAGTGTACCCTTGAGCTACAAGCCGCGCCTTGTAGCGTTCGACACTCCCATCGGCTCCCAACTTCTACTTGAGCACCCACTTGCATCCCACCAAGTAGGCACCTTTCGGCGGGTCGACGAGCTCGAACACGTCGTTCTCTTTGATTGAGGTTAGCTCCTTCTCCATTGCTTGCTTCCATAGCGGTGCATCCGGAGAAGCCAAAGCCTCCGTGTGGGTGCGAGGGTCATCTCCCATGGTTGCGAAGCAATATGCCGCACGCTCCTCATCCAACTCCCCAACGGCCACCGTAGCGTAGTCGAATAACTTCATGTTGGGGCGAGGTGTACGACGCCCACGGGTCAACGCCAATGGTAGGGAAGAAGGTGCGGAGGAAGTTGCCTCCTCGGTTGGTGGCACCTCCACGACATCGTCATCGCTCTCCTCGTTCTCTCCCTCTCCATTCTCGGCTTCCTTTTCCGCTTGTGATGGAACCTCCACCGCCTCATCCTCCTCTCGTGCGGGAAGTACGACGGTGAGTTGCGGCGTTGGTTGTTCCTTCGTCGGAAACTTGTCTTCGTCGAAGACCACGTCTCGAGATGTGACGACGCGCCTTTCCGCCAAGTCCCACACTCGCCACGCACACTCGTTTGCCGCAACTCCCAAGTAGATTGCCGCACGAGCCTTCGGTTGCAACTTGTGACGAAGGGGATCCGGGACATGGTAGTAGCAAAGGCACCCAAAGGTGCGTAGGCGGGATAGGTTCGGCTTCGTTCCGGTCCATGCTTCGAACGGAGTCGTTCCCGGGAGCACCTTCGTCGGCAAACGGTTGCGAATCCACGCCGCTAGCGCACTCGCCTCTCCCCACCACTCGTGCCCAAGCTTGGAGTGTTGAAGTAGTGAACGAACGGCTTCCACCAACGTGCGATTAAGCCGCTCCGCCGCTCCATTTTGTTGGGGTGTGTAGGGTGTCGTAACGTCGTGCTTAATGCCCTTGCTCTTCATCCATTTCTCAAGCTCCGCGTTCACGAATTCGCCACCACCATCGGTGCGAATACACTTGATCCGCTTCTTGTCGTCGTCGCAAACTTCGAGCGCGCACTCTTGAATCGCCTTGGCCGCATCTCCCTTAGCCTTCAAGAGTCGGGTCCAACACATCCGCGTCGCGTCGTCGAGCATCACCAAGAGGAACCGCGCTCCTCCTTTTGATGCATGCCGCATCGGTCCACACACGTCCATGTGAACAAGCGCAAGCGGGTCCTTAGCGAGGGGTGACGTTCGGCTACCAAATGGCTTGCGAGCCATTTTTCCTTCGACACACGCCATGCACACGCCCTTCTCGTCGTCGCCGGCGATCACGTCGACTCCCTTCGCGAGTCCTTTGTTGACCAACTCCTTGACCGAGTCGTAGTTGGCGTGCGCAAGTCGATTATGCCACGCCTTGAGAGTCGCCTTGGAACCTTGCGCCACGTTGGATGAAGCCGCTCCCGGGTGCGTCTTGAGTTGGTAAAGTTCTCCGTTGAGAACGCCTTGTGCGAATTGCTTCCCCTTCCAAAAGAGGTTCATCGTCGCGCCATCGATGGTGACCTTCACGTCCTTCTTCGCGAGTTGAGTAACTGAGAGTAGATTCACCTTCAATCCCGGGACGTGAAGCACGTTCGTGATGTCCACCGGTCCGCCATCGACGATGAGACGCGTACTCCCAACTCCAACCACCGGTAGCGACTTGCCGTTTCCGAAGACGACGCGTGTGACGTCTCCCGGTGCACCAACGTTGGTGAGGAACGATGCCGAGTGCGTCATGTGTTGTGTTGCGCCGGTGTCAAGGAACCACGCGTCGTTTGGAGTGTTGGTCCCGTCACCGGCCAATAACACGATCGACTCCCTTGTATCATCCGCCTCGCCGGATGCCGTGTGCGCGTTGCCCTCTTGGTTCCGCGCCTTCGATGGAGTCCAATCGCTCGGGCGCTTCCGAAACTCTCGCCAAAAGTGTCCCGCTTTGCCGCAATAGTGGCACTTGCTCGCGCCGTTTGATGTGTTCCCCTTGCCGCGATCGCTTCCACCGTACGACTTCTTCGTCGCACCCTTGCTCTACTTGGACTTTCTTCCGGAACTCCCTCCGGAGAACATGGCGGTCTCCACGCTCTCATTAGCGAATTGTCGGCGACGCGATTCCTCATGGAGAAGCCGACCGACCACCGTTTCCTTTGTCCAAGTGTCTTGCACGCTATCGAGTGTCGTTATCACCGTCGACCACTCTTCCGGAAGACCGCAAAGCAAGGTCAAAATCCAATCCTCCTCCGTGACCGTTCCACCGAGGTCTACGAACGTTTCCCCAAGTTCCTCCACACGAGTCGCATACTCGTGCATCGATTCGCCCGCGCGCAATTTCACCGTGTAGAACGCATTCCGGGCTAGGATCTTGCCGTGGAGAGTCTTTTTCACGTGCATTGTCTCGAGCCGCTTCCACGCCTCATGCGCCGACGCTTCGAGCTTGATGCACGTGCGCACCGAGCTCACGAGGTTGATGCCGATCCGCGAGATTAGCGTAGCGAACGCCTTTTGGTCCTTCTTCTTCCAAGCCGCGATGTCGCTCTCGTCGTCCGGCTTCTTCTCCGTCCCATCGAAGAGACCCCAAAGTCCCCGCTCCATCATGAGCACTTGGAACTTAAACTTCCACGCGGAGTAGTTTTGTCCCGTGAAAATCGGTACCGCCGACGTGTCGTACATCGTCGCGGCTGCCCAGGGTTCGCCGGAATTTACAACGACACCATCCAAGGAAGTGCGGGAGGCCTCGCTTGAAGTCGGCATGCTTGCTTCTCGTCGCGCGCGTAGACTCCTCCGACCAGCTCTGATACCACTGTTGTAGAGGCGTGTCCTCTACCTTGCAGGAACTGGGATCTGCACTAAATGATAGAGCACTCTGCTGGCTTTCCAACGAGCCGTCAAACACACGATTCGCCCAAGTAACGAGGGAGTTCTAGGCTTTTATGTGCTTGCTAGTGCTCTTAGAACAAAGGATAGGAGCTCTCTGGATTTTGTAGTCGAACCACTGTTGTAGAGGCGTGTCCTCTACCTTGCAGGAACTGGGATCTGCACTAAATGATAGAGCACTCTGCTGGCTTTCCAACGAGCCGTCAAACACACGATTCGCCCAAGTAACGAGGGAGTTCTAGGCTTTTATGTGCTTGCTAGTGCTCTTAGAACAAAGGATAGGAGCTCTCTGGATTTTGTAGTCGAATGTATCACTTACAAAGTGATTCTCAATTTCAGTATGAAACATGCAAACAAGACGAGCACATTTATATCTACTCAATACATCGAGTCGCGCATGTAACATCTAGCTACTACGAGATGTGTCGTGAACTTTCATGTAACATTTCGAATGGGGTGAAATTCGGCAACCGAATTTCACTGTTTCGAATGTTCCCTCAATCTCGATTCTTCTAGTGCTGCCATATGGCACGAATTCAATGGGTCTTCCGAAGTCAACCCACTCACTTCGAAACCTGCAGCTCACGCAACATGTGAGCTTCATTCGGTGGTTGGGGGCAAACCTCCCCTCACACGCAACCTCCAACAATGATGACGAAAAACCGGCAGATACTCTGACCAGCAAAACCGTTGAGAGTAGTGAGCTGGAAGTCTGAGCACATCACATTGAAGTAGTAATGCAATAATAGCCGTAGCCCATTGTTCGTAACAAAGATGGTGTAAGACCGCTGAGGAACTTCAGGGCCATCTTGGTAAATCAAGGTGGAATCCAGAAAGCCAATAGTTGTATGCTTAATTGGCAGCCTTGTAATGACTCTTAACCCTGGTAACCACTCGATAACCTTGGGCTTAGACTGCTTGGTCAGCGATGAGCTCCAGTGAGAGGATAATAAAATGTTCACCTGATGAACACAAAGTATATGATCCTCTTCGTCTTGCTGTAGCGAGTACAATGCTGACGAGATTAAAGCCAACTGAGAGTTCCAGGCTGGTGTCAGGCAGCCATGACGGCGAGATCGAGGTTTCCATGTCGAGGTTTCTGTGTCGAGCAAATAACACACATGGCAATGCGACCTAACTTTTCCGAACTTGACTCGACTCAATGTATGAATGAGGGCGTGTACAGTGAATCGAACGAGTGTTGTTTTGGGCACGTGCGATAATGGACGAAATCTGCGAAACCTCCGCGACGCAATAGAAGCTCCGCCAAAATCCATAGTCGGTATGTTGACGTGGCGCGATGTCAAAGTAAATATACCTGGTAACCTATGTCCCCTATGAGCGGCTCGGCGTATCCCCTATAAGGTCGAACATTTAAATTCAACTTAGGGTGTATTGAGACCTACCTGAAACTGTTATGTGCGGTTCAAACTTCACATTCAATAGAAGTCGAGAACTGTTCGGCTCAAGTGAAATGCTACATTCTATTTAAAAATGTAAACTTATGCCAATTTCAAAAATCACACACGCCCTTACACGCCCACCAACAAACGTGGTTCCATCGCATTTCATATCTCATCGCTCTAGGGTATCGTACACTGTAAGGCAACGGTATCGTATACTGTAAGTAGCGGTGCGAGGAAGTTCCGCCATGGGGTCACCAACACCACTATAAGCTTGAATGTAGACGGCCTGTTGTATACGTGAACAAGGTTGGTAGTCGCGGACTGTAGGGTACATCTGATGCCTTTTTTCTAAACTTTATGTGCTCGTCAATCAGGCGGCACTTGGTACTGGAATTACTAAAGCAATTATGATTGCCCTTTTTTTATGATCTTTTCACGTTTTGCTAAATCATTCGCAGAAATGTGCTTCGTCGAACGTGGACCGTTGCCGTGAGTCCCACCATCGTTCCTAAGTCTCTGAGACTCTTCCGCGAAAGTCTTTCTTCTAGCGACGCGCACGTCTTCGGGTATTTAACTCGATAAATCCTCGTGCGGCACCGCGTCGGCGCTTCGATCTCGGCGCTTTTGAGTGTCGACCTCCCATTGGGTCAGGCTTTACGGGCATCGCCCATGTGTATCAGGACGGTGTGCCACCGGCGCCGTACCACCCCTCCCTCCCCGTCCCCACTCCAGCTCCCCCCCCCCCCCCCCCCCCCCCCCCCTCCTCCCACTCCGCTGGGGACTGACGCACATGGTGGACCGACTCGGTGGGCGTCAGAATGTGAACTTGGATTTCGTGCTCCAGTCCTGCCATGCCATGCCAGCTTGAACAACTGCTGCCGAGGCGAGTCGCACCTTGGTCCAGCTGCCCGAAGCTGTCAGCTTTGGCCCGCGCCGCGATGCTGCTAGTACGCCGCCGGAGGAACCGAGTGTCCTGTATCACCTCGCCTGCATTCCACCAGATTTCATTTCGAGATTTCACCATCTCTAGATCTTCACCCGTCCGCCAACATGGAGCGTGCGACACCTCTCGTCGTCCTCCTCTGTGAGCACTTTTTGCTCCTTGACTCTCTGTTACTCTGTTTCTCTACTACTTAGTACTACCAAGTAGTACTATGTCAAGAATACACATGTCTGTTGGCGCGGCATCATCTCGATGCCACCGCGTTCCTCTGTTCATGCGCCTTTCCGGCGTCGTCAGCTTCTTATTCCCATGCCCCCCCGACGCAGGAACTTACCGTTACCCTTGAAGCTGCTCTCTGCATTTACTACCCTGATCCCCATTCTCCCCCCATCCCAAAATTGACGGGCCCCAAAAAGTTACTTCTCAACAAGTTAGTTTGGCGAAGTAACTTCTGTGGGGCATTTGGTTGTGGTGCTGCTCCGAAACCGAACCAAAACGGGGGACGGAGGTTCGAGTTTGGTCTGGGCGCGGTGGTTTTAGCTTGGCGCCAATCCGGTTGCAGAACAATTGTCGCGCGCGTCGCTTTTTGCACTGAAACCTCGTTTCTCTGACAGCACGGGTGGCAGTATCTGGCGCGACACTGTTCGGAACTCCCTTCTGGCTCAATACTCGATGTTCGATATATGAAATGAAAAATTGACAGAGGCATATTTGATATATTGTATTCACCACTAGAAGTAAACTAAAGCGTGTTTTTGTGTTTTGTGATTTCAGAAAGTAAATTTGGAATCTTTGTTTCAGAAGATTATTATACCACCATACGCATTTGTAAAAAAAAAATTTAGGTGGTGCCGTCGGTCAATTTCACCTCGCGCGCACTCGCTCGCTCGCTCCAGTGCCACCTTGCGCGCGCGCGCTCGGTCGCTACCGTGCACCTCCCGCGCGTGCGCTCACTCGCTCCCGTGCACTCGACGAGTGGCTTCAGCAGCGGCAGTCGGTGGTGGCGGCGGACGAGCTGGAGACGCTGCGGTCCGCTCGGGTGGCGCCGGGCGCGCCGGTGTTCGACCTACGCTGGTTCAACCCGAGGTGAGCTGGGGGCTACCGCGAAGGCATGAGAATGAGGGGAGGGAAGGGGAGGGGGGGGGTGGGGGTGGGGGATAGTGGGGAGGTAGGGAAGGGAGGGAAGGGAGGGAAGGGAGTTGAAGGGGCTCTCTCTATGCTTGCTGCACCCTCTCCCCGTTCCTCTGTCCTTTCCGTTCTCTACGCTCTCCCAACACACCAGCCTTTTCTCACCAGCAGAGCTCTTATTGCCCCTTTCCCAATCTGTCTCATTGACACTCGTCTCTCCAGGTCGTATATGCGGGTAGTGGTGCATCTAGGCGGGCTAGTTGCTTCCACACAGTAAGTGCTATTTTGATGCATACGATCTGCTACATCCTTTTATCATAATTTTCTCACTATGCTTATGTTATGTTCTGATGCAGCCTGCAGAGTAACGAAGTGACATGACAGCGTGCAAGGTTGTTAGGAAAATTTGACATTGTATCCTTAATTAGGCTTGTTTTTATGTATTGTTTGTTAGTGCAGATATACTCAGCCTGATACAATGTTGGTATGGTATTATACTTTAGACTGTACTTCATGCAGAGTACACTCTGGATCATGACTGTATATTTTTTTGTTTAACAGTCCTACCGATTCTCATATTAGATGTAAATATATTTGTAGAGAATCTAGTTTTGCAATGCAGGATCAATTACACGAAAAACCAAATAATTGAAGTATATTTTATTTACTGTACATATCACAACCATTGGTCAGCGGTACACTTCATGTACAAGTAAATATCAAAAGAAGTATTCGAATCGATATAATCACAAACAGGGCGCAATCTGTATCGTCATCGAAAAACAGCTTCGACAGCATTAGTGTATCACGATTATCAAATGCACCTGAATGTTGACAGCCAATCGGAAAAGCACACGCGGATAAATAGTACTTGGTGTTTGAATAGGCGGGAAAATTACACGCCAAATCTCGACGAGCGAGCCCCTGGCGTATACGAATCAGAAGCTTTGCCGAGCCTATTCCGAGTTACCTTCGATTGGTTCCCAATAGTTTGGGGAAACGCAGCCTGCGACCTTGAGTCAGTCGCGTGCAAAAAAGCCAGTTCTCCAGTAACTTGTTCCAGAGTTAGTTTTCGGCCCTGAAAAAGTTACTTTCGGGACCAGTCAATTTTCGGATGCCCATCCGCCCGCATCCCCACTCCCCCCCTTCCCCTGCAGCAGCAGCAGCGGCGGGGATATCAGGGAACAAGCAGTGTCACCAGCGCTACCCCGGGCTGACATGAGTCCGGCGATGTGGTTCCAGGAGTGTCGCCTCACCTCAACTCAAGGGGTGACCACCCTTTAGATTGAAGGGAGCCGCTATAAACGCTTGCTCTTACA